TTTGTTTCTATTTTTTATCGTTTTGGCCCGACATGGCCAGGTGGTTAGGGCCCCGGCATGGCCAGGTGGTTAGGGCGTTTGACTCGCAATTTGAGGGTCGCGGGTTCGAATCCCCGTCTCACCAAACATGCTTGCCCTTTCAGCCGTGGGGGCGTTATAATGTACGATCAATCCCATTATTCGTTGATAAAAGAGTAGCCCAAGAGTTGGCGGTGGGTGGTGATGACTAGCTGCCTTCCCTCTCGTCTTACACTGCTAAATTAGGGATGGCTAGCGCAGATAGCCCTCGTGTAGCTTTGCGCGAAATTCAAAACACAAACAAACATTAAGGTATAACTAAACCTTCAAGTAACTTTGTTTACAGCTGATCTAAGCCAGTTAGAGAGTGGCATTTTAATAATCGAGATACATAAACCAGACTGCCGTACATGTATATATATATATAAGAATAAAAACCTGAGCGCTTTCGAAAGATGGGTTATAGTGTTTTTTTTTACCAGCACAACAAGTCCTCATCGTAACCGCATGATAAACATATCTACTATATGCGATATATATTATCACCACAACCAGTCCCTACTATAACCGCATAATAAACATATCTACTATATCTGGTATGCATTTATTAGTTCTACAAGAGGAGTTTGTTGCTATAGCAACATACCGTAAAAACGTTCTATAAGCTTTATAACATATCTACTTGGAAACTCATTAGTTCTAAAAGAGGAGTTTGTTACTATAGCAACATACCGTAAAAACGTTCTATCAGCTTTATAACATATCTACTTGAAACTCCTTAGTTCTAAAAGAGGAGTTTGTTACTATAGCAACATACCGTAAAAACGTTCTATCAGCTTTATAACATATCTACTTGAAACTCCTTAGTTCTAAAAGAGGAATTTGTTACTATAGCCACATACCGTAAAAACGTTCTATCAGCTTTAAAACATCTCTACTTGGAAACTCATTAGTTCTACAAGAGGAGTTTGTTGCTATAGTAACATACCTTAAAAAGTTCTATCGGGTTTAATACCTCTCTACTTGGAAACTTCAGTTTCAAAACAGACGGAAATTATATTTTGAAAGCAAGTGATTATTAACAACATTTGAAACCAGGGAGAACGTTTTAGAGCTCATCTCTACGAACACAAACGTTTACAGAATCGGGAAAAGTCTAAAGAAACGTTATACAGCAAGTGACGCTTATAGTTATAAAACAACTGACCGTAAAATCGATCGTTGAAACAAACATGGTGAACTGGACGTAAAAAACCCTTATAATAAACATAGTGAACTGGACCTTAAAAACCCCTTATAAAAATATAGTGAACTGGACGTTAAAAACCCTTATAACAAACATAGTGAACTGGACTTTAAAAACCCTTATAACAAACATAGTGAACTGGACGTTAAAAACCCTTAAAACAAACACGGTGAACTGGATGTTAAAAACCCTTATAATAAACATAGTGAACTGGACATTAAAAACCCTAATAATAAACATTGTGAACTGGACGTTAAAAACCCTTATAAAAACATAGTGAACTGGACGTTAAAAACCCCTATAACAAACATAATGAACTGGACGTTAAAAACCCTTATAACAAACATAGTGAACTGGACGTTAAAAACCCTTATAACAAACATAGTGAACTGGACGTTAAAAACCCTTATAAAAAATATAGTGAACTGGACGTTAAAAACC